GAACTTGTACCTGAAGGCGGGCTGGGGGGGGGGCTCTGCAACTTACCTGGCTGCTTCTTGCTCCTCGTGGCCCGATTGAGAACTGCTGGGAGCAGGGGGCGGGGCTTGTTGCATGTGCCCGCCCCCTGGGCTCCTTACTGCCGGAGCTCCACTCCTGTGTGCTCCCGCAGGAAATTACCCCTGAGTTTACCTATATAGACTCAAAAAGCTTTCACAATCTGATTTGTCTTAAATCCACAGACTGTCCCCAAAAAGTCCAAAATAACCGCTTTCTTGCACATACACTTAGTATCTGGGGATAAAAATAATAAGAAGACTTCTACCCGGGTTTCTTCCATAACAACTTTTACAGGTCGGCCTTAGTTTTTGCCAGTCTTTAAGAACACAGCCTTCCCCTATTGGAGGGAAAACAATTTAACCAGATTTTGTGGTATATTAAAGAAAGGACAAATTAAAAATAAAACTGAACTAGAAAATCTAGCCAACCACCAATTACCATGGTATGAATTTTTTTCAGCTAAAACATCTTTGCGATCTGCCTAAAATCAAACAATCCATAACGAGGACCCTCACAGACTATGAAAAACTACTTTTGGATAACAACAATTCCCCAAAAGGATTGAGATCCAGGGTCTATAAAATATTGCTTCTTAATACATCTGCGGAACTTCATACACAAAAGCCTGGCAAACAGGCTGCAAAACCGAATGTAGAGAAGATCATTGGGAAAACATTCGGCACTCCCCTATGTTCACCTCAAGTTCGCTGAACTTTCTTTTTCAGTCGTTTCAATTAGCGGCACGATGGTAAAACAACCCCCACAAAACTTCCCCGTATAACTCCTGCTAACTCACCACTGTGCTGGCTCATATATTCATTGTTGGTGGATTTGCAGAAAAGTCCATTTTTTGGGAAAATTAGTACTAATTAATTAATTAATGTATTTATTATTCAGATTTTTATCCCGCCCTCCTGGCTGGGGCCGGCTCAGGGCGGCTTACATCAAGACAAATAATTACATTAAAAACAAGTTGAGGTTAAAACAATTATAAAATCATAATAAAATGCTAGTAACTGTTGGTATTCATCTCACGATAGTAGCCAGTATACAAAGTTGTCAGCTGCAGTCGACTCTCGGTATTCATTTGGGTGTCCTTACAGGTTCGCTGTTCTCTTAGGGTATTAACACATATAAACACCATAACTGGCTACACACTACCAGAGAGACCCCAGCTAGTCCTATTAAACCTTTGGCACGAGCTAAACATTCCCAAGATACGATGTGAGATCGTTTCAATATTAATATTTTATTTTTTATTTATCTTTGAATTTATACCCCACCCTCCCCGAAGGGTCAGGGCGGCTCACAAGGGGCACAAATGCCCAAGTTAAAACATTAAAACAGTACAGAATAATATAAAATACAACAAATACAATTCACTGGCCGCAAAGAACATTATAGCCACAAATGGGAAGATGCCAAACTCCCCTTCAATAGAAGCCTGGTGTTCTAAAATCTGGGATCATGCCATTACGGACAAAATAACAGAAGACATTAGGAGATCAGAAAACCCCTTGGCTACTTCAGACTACCTGGAGAAATGGTACCCTTTTGTGGGAAAATGTTGTTTTGATCGAGAAAACACAAATTCTTTTGAAAAAAACAAAAATAGTAAATTTATAGCCCCGTTGCAATAAAAGTGATAACATTGCAGATAAGTGTATACTGACAGAACTCAATGTTATGTAGTGAATGTTGTTTATTTTTGTTTTAGTGTTATTTTATTATTGTTGTATTTGTCGAAATGATTAATAAAAAACTTTTAAAAAGAAAAGAAAGAAGTACTGTACCAATGATGGGTACACATAATGCAAAATGTTCTGGGAAGAAATTGCTTGCGAAAGCCGCAAATCAATTTTACTTGACACCCCCCCCCCCAAGATTCCAAAACGCTTGGACCTGGCTTTAATTTTCTATCGTTGGGGATTTCAGGTGAATGCAGAACTCGGCTCCTTCAGAATGAGCATGGAGAAGATGCAAGCGCACCTTAAGCAGGTACTCAAATGACCCAGGTTGCCTTTTCTGTTAATCTCGTGCGAGTTTTCGTGGGGGTACACGGCAAACCGGGCGGGAGGAGACCGAAGTACTGTGTGGGAACCAGTGGTGACCATGTACGTAATTCCCTGGGCCTGCCTGGCACCATTTGAAAAATTCTAGTGTCCTCCCCGGGATTTTAATTACTTTCGGAGCACATGGCGGGAATTGATATTTTTACTCCTGCCTTTCAGGATCCACTGGGGGGAGCTCTCTGACCCTTTCAGTGCCTTTTCTCTTGGCATTTGAGAGGAAGCATGAAAGGTCAAGGGAGGGAAGGTACCTGCTCTTTTGTGTGTAAACGATGCACTGACCTGCGCAGAAATCAGGGGTGGGGCGGATAAAGAGAAAGAAGTTTTCTTCTTCCCTCTCTCTGTGGCTTTCTTCCCTTGAGACCACCCTTCAGTCCCTGGATACGTCACCGAGCTGTATGCGAGCTTGCGCTCGGTCCCTCTGCTTCATCTCCCCAGCTATCAGCCCCTGCTGTGGTTTTGAGACCTTCGAGGGTGGGGCAGTGCTTCTGTTCACCCCCTAACGTTCAGCCCTGAGGCTTATGCTTGAAGACACGCTTATGTCCAGTGTGTTCCCTATCCCTTGGCCTGCGTCATTCGGGGAAGGGGGAGCTATTTTTCTGCAAAGGGATTGTGGTCTCTGCCATTAACGGAGACCCCATTGTTAAACAAGTCACTCAGAGAAATCAAATCAAATCTAAAGGATCTTGACTTCAGCAGTACCCTCCAAAGAGCTCGACGTACTTGCTCTGGTCTATCCTTGGGTCTTGCCCCCCCTGAGGCTATCCCGTCATATTGCTATACTTTAAAGATCCCAAGACAACGCAGAGCTTTCACCTTGGCGAGACTTAATTCCTTCCCCTCTAAGGTGCTCTCCGATCGTTTCATGGGACTTCCGTTTTTGGAACGAGTTTGCGATTGCGGACAAGAGATGATAGAAACTATGGATCATATAATGCTTTTCTGTCCTAAGTGGAATAAGGAAAGAGAGAGATATATCATTCCTGTTGTGAGAAAAGAAAAGCTTCCCCTCCTTCCTTGGGCAGTTTCAGTGCTATTGTCTGATAACTCCCCTGATAATCAAACCACGGCTATAGTGGCTTCCTTTCTAGCCGTGGTGATTAAGAAAACAAATCTCCCTGAGTTTAATTAGTTTACTGCTGATAACTGTCGACCTATATACAAATTTGACAATTTTAAGTGTGTTTTTAATCCTGTACAGTTGCAATGGCTTTCTTGCTAATGCAATAAAGATTATCATTGTTATGGTTATTGTTATTATTGTTATTATTGTTATTAATAATGATGATGATGATGATGATGATGATGATGATGGAGACCGTTGCTTGCATTGCTGAGACACCTTTCTGTGTGGAGGCTCACTGCTGGGTACATATATGTGAAATATATAGGGAGAAAACTTGGAACCTGTACCGTATTTTTCCTATGTATTTCAAGTGCTTTGTGTATCTCAGAGGTGTCGAACGCATTTGTTAGCGAGGGCCAGATCTGACATGAATGTCACTTTGTCGGGCCGGGCTATGTGTGCGGTAAAGTGTAATTTAGCAAAAAGAAGTGGGCTTCCCAGCCAAAGCGTATAAATAAAGGAAAAAGCTGTGGAATGAGACGTTAAACCAGTCACGGTTTTTAACAGACCAGTCTTAAGCCCGTCTGAAGATTAATACCTCAGCAGGGGCTATAATACCCTAATATAGGCCCTTCCAGTACACATTCAGACTGGAGCTGGAGGCGAAGAAGAAAAAGAAGACGAGGAGGAGGAGGAGATTGGATTTATACCCCGCCCTTCACTCGGAGTCTCAGAGCAGCTTGCAAACACCTTTCCATTCCCCTCCCCACAACAGACACCCTGGGAGGCAGGTGGGGCTGAGAGAGCTCTGACAGAAACTGCTCTTTTTCAAGAACAGCTGTGCCAGAACTATGGCTTGCCCAAGGTCATCCAGCAGCTGCAAGTGGAGGAGTGGGGAATCAAACCCAGTTCTCCCAGATTAGAGTCCGTGCACTTAACCGCTACACCAAACTGGCTCTCCTGGTGTCCTGGGTGGGCTGGTTCCGGCCCCCGGGCCATACATTTAATATGTCTGGTGTATAGCATTGTTGTGAAGGTTGCAGTCGAGTAATTTTTAGGGCTGCCAACTCTATGTTGGGAAATTTCTGGGGATTTGGGGGGTGGAGCCTGAGGAAGTGGGGCCTCATCGGGGTCTAATGCCACCGAGTTCATCCCCCCAAAGCAGCCGTGTTCTCCAGGGGAACCGATTTCATTTGTCTGGAAATCAGTTGTAATTCCGGGAGATCACCAGGTCCCACTTGGGGGACGGCAGCCCTACCAGTGTTATATCTGTATTATTCATACAAATGAGCTATTAAGGAATCTGAGCCCAATACACAAATATTATGTTCTTATCTATGAGGAAAGGTTAAGGCGCTTAGGGCTCTTTAGCTTGGAGAAAAGACGACTGAGGGGTGACATGATCGAGGTTTATAAGATTATGCATGGGAAAGCGCAGGTAGAGAAAGAGGTACTTTTCTCCCTTTCTCACAATACAAGAACTCGTGGGCACTCCATGAAATTGCTGAGCGGTCGGGTTAGAACGGATAAAAGGAAGTACTTCTTCACCCAAAGAGTGATTAACACATGGAATTCACTGCCACAGGAAGTGGTGGCGGCTACACGCATGGACGGCTTCAAAAGGGAATTAGATAAGCATATGAAGCAGAGGTCCATCAGTGGCTATTAGCCACAAGGTATAGATAGGGACTCTGGGGCAAGTGATGCTCTGTCATCTTGGGGCTTGGGGGTGGGGTCAAGAGTGGGAGGGCTTCTAATGTCCTGGCCCCACTGGTGGACCTCCTGATGGCACTGGTATTTCTGGCCACTGTGTGATACAGAGTGTTGGACTGGATGGGCCTTTGGCCTGATCCAACATTGGCATCTCTTATGTTCTTATGTACACATAGCAATGAACCTTGGGCCCCAAAGTCAGGGAGGAGGTTAAACGGTAGTCAGGAGTGGAGTTCCATCCTACTTTACCTGGACGTACCGTCTCAAGATTTTGGATTTCAGAAACGGCGCTGGCGAGCCATTCCACTGGTCTTCATTCAGGTGATTCCGTAAACTGAGGGGTGGGCCCTCATGACATCACAAAGAGCACTCTGAGGTCTCGTGATTCTGTGATGTCACAGAGAATACAAGCCCTCGAACAAGAGCAGCTGTCGAGATTTAACCGTTGAACAGCCACCTAAGGGGGGAGGTAAAAATCAGGTTTTAAAATGGCTTCCTTGGACTCCCTCGGTGATGCGACAACTTTATAAAGCCCCACGCAGAAGTGGAGAGGAGAGGCAACATTTGCAAATGGAGTTCCTCAGTTAACAGATGTTTGGGCCGTTTGTTTTGATCCGACCGCACTCTCTCCGGGCCGTTTGTCTCTCCCGTGGTAAGAATGTCGCTCAGGAAAAGGAAGTCTTCCAGCTGGTCCTTGCGAGAGAATCCCAGTGACCATTTCAGATCATGCATCGCCTGGGACACCGAGGAGGGGGTGGACCTCGAGGCGCGACCGTCGACTCTGTCCCCCCGCACGCGCCGGGTCCGTTTCACGATGGACCTGCCCACGAGGGAATCGGCCTCTCAGTGCGGCGATAGCCCGGACGCCTCTCCCAGGATCCGCTTCAAGAATATTCAGACCATCCTGAAAGAAACGCTGGAGAGTGAAGGGGAAGTCCCCAACCTCGCACTGTCGATGTCAGAGTGGGATGTAGAAAGCGACGGAACGGATCTCCCGATCGTGAGTGGGGGGCTGTAGATTTCCGGGCGAGTAGGCAGGCAATCCTGAGAGCATATCCAGACCTCATGATGTATAGGCGTCAGGCTCCCCCACAGCATCAATGAAGTACACTCTTGCAGAAAGGTTTTACTTCATTTGAAGCTATAGGTGCATGTACAGGATCACTGTTAGGAATGAGGGGAGAGCAACGAGCATGACAGGTTATAGTACATTCAAACAGCTGAGGCCCAATTGCGGGACTTCCCGCGCGCGCCATCGGGCCTCGGAGCAAACGCTTCTAGGCAGTATAACATATCTCCTTCCCACGGTCCTCCGTGAGATCACCCAAGCAACTATCTCGCAGCAACCACCTGTGGCCTTGAGAGATATAGACGTTCCAGTAGCTAAGCAATTAAGCGCATCAACAGGTCTACATATGAAAACGAAAGCAAGCAAGTGCATAAATGGGAGAACCAAAAGAGAAGAATTTGGCAGCTCGCTGACAATAGGATAGCGGCAGGAAAGAGAACGGGGGCATTACCAAGAACTCCAAACGTCTGTTTTTGGTGCCCGGAAACAAATTCAGTTGCTGTTTCCACAGGCACAGGATGTGACCGGGGAAACGCCAATCTAATATTGATATTTATTTATCTATTTATTTTGTTTATTTTGTATCCTGCCTTCCCCGCTGTGGCAGGCTCAGGGCGGTTTACAGAATATATATAAAATACCACTCTGTAAGCTCTTGGAGGACTGGCTACCTTAGGGGGGGTGTCGCCTAATAGGCAAAGGAGTCCCTGCTACAAAAAGAGCCCTGTGTTGTCTGAATATTGTATAGCAGTAATGGCGAACCTTTTAGAGACCGCGTGCCCAAACTGCGACCCAAAACCCACTTATTTATCGCAAAGTGCCAACACGGCAATTTAGCCTGAATACTGAGGTTTTACTTTAGAAAAAACAACTCAAACATTAACTCAAAAAGGTTTAAACAAAAGAAGGAAAGCAATCCCAAATGCTTTCATTTACTTAAAATTATTTGGCAGAGAATTCGACACTTTAATGATGGTCTGGGCCTGGCTGGGGCGATGGCATGCCTGCCCACAGAGAGGGCTCCGAGTGCCACCTCTGGCACCCGTGCCATGGGTTCGCCACCACTGTTGTATAGTGACGTCGCCTGAATTTCACACGCGGAGAGGTCGAATTACCTCTTGCCGGCTGTGGGCTTCTTGTCTGTCACGAAGTCCTGAAAAGACTTTTTAAAAAATTCCTTCTGCAAATGCAGCCGCTCTGGGATTGTTTGATTAGGGAAGAGGAGGGCGTGGCTGGCGCAAGAGAGAGGGAAACTTCAGCTCTTTCACCACCTGCAGTTGGTTACCACATCTGGTTCAGGAAAGTTGCTAGAGATTTGCGCACGGGGTGGGGGTGGAGCCTGCGGAGGAAGGGAGGAGAGGGACCTCACCTCCGTGGGGTATAATGCCACTGAATTTACTCTTCAGAGCGGCCATTTTCTCCAGGGGAACTGATCTCTGCCGTCTGGAGATAAATTATAATTCCAGGAGATCTCCAGGCCCCGCCTGGAGGTTGGCACCCATAAAAGCCCATCACTGCACTCGCTTACCCACATGGGAGGGGATACCCATATAATTCCTCCAGCAGGATTGAAGGCAGATCAGAGGGTGGCTTTTTTCCAGTGAGGAACTGTTAAATAGTTAAGGAGGCCCTGCTTGGAACGCAGAAGGTCCCAGGTTCAAGCCCCGACATCTCCAGTTAAGAGGACCAAGCAGTAGGTGACTGAGGGGAGCCTCCACGTTCAGAGGCACTAATCCTCTGTGTCCCAGAGCCAGGAGGCAATATCAGGGGAGGGCCTCGGCCTGAATGCACTGTTGCTGGCCCTCCAGAGGAACTGGTTGGCCACTGTGTGGGACAGGAGGCTGAACTAGATGGACCACTGGTCTGATCCAGCAGGGCTCTTCTTCTGTTCTTATAGATTTATGGAGGAGAGGTCCATCAATGGCTACTAGACCTGGTGACTGAGGGTAACCTCCAAATTCAGAGGAACTAATCCTCTGAGTCCCAGAGCCAGGAAGGCAACATCAGGGGAAGGCCTCGGCCTCTCTGCCCTGTTGTTGGCCCTCCAGAGGAACTGTTTGGCCACTGTGTGAGACAGGATGCTGGACTAGATGGACTACCGGTCTGATCCTGTAGGGCTCTTCTTAGATCTTAGTAGGGGAAGACTTCAGCCTCTTTGCCCTGTTTATTTATTATTATTTATTTATTTATTTAAATTTATAACCCGCCCTCCCCGCGAATGGGCTCAGGGCGGCATACAGATGGGGCCAATGCCCAATACATAAAACATTAAAACTCCATTTTAAAAACATTCAGTGCAACAGAAGTGCTCTCCACAACAACTAACAAGGGAACCGATGTCACCAGGATGGTATCCTTAGTGGCCACAGCTCCACACAGTACCACCATTTTTGTACTCATGGCGAGTTGGTAATAAGGGCTAGGACAGATGGTAACAGTCGTGGCAGCTCCTACTCAAACGCCTGGTGGAAGAGCTCCGTCTTGCAGACCCTGCGGAACTGTACAAGGTCCCACAGGGCCCGGATCTCCTCTGGGAACTCATTCCACCAGGTAGGAGCCGCCACCGAAAAAGCCCTAGCCCTAGCCGCCGCTAGTCTGGCCTCTTTGGGACCTGGAACCACCAGGAGATGTTTAGTCTGTTGCTGGCCCGCCGGAAGAACCGGTTGGCCCCTGTGTGAGACAGGATGCTGGACTAGATGGACCCTCACTGGTCTGATCCAGCAGGGCTCTTCTTCACTTCTTATCTAGGTGATGTGAAAGACCTCCACCTGAGACCCCGGAGAGCCGTTGCCGGTCTGAGTAGACACCTAGAGACCTCTGAGAGTGATCCACAGCATTTCTCTTTAAAGATGGGACACCGGCGTGGTTGCCCCCCCCCCCCAGTCCCTGACCCATTTCCCCAACTGCCCCGGGCTATAGTTCAAGATGGGCAGCCAATCAGGTCTCCGGTGGTGAATCAGAAGCCCCACCTGCTTTCTGAAAACACTTGACGGGCACCAGGGGAAGGTGTTGGTGGGCGGCTGTAGCACCCACGACCCCTACGCTGGGGACCCTTGTGCCGGTTGATGTATGTGTAGTAGAGTTGGATGAATTCTAAGATTTTCATGGTTTCCGAATGGCCTGGATGATATCCCCCCCCTTCTGCGCTATAAACCACCTCTTCACGTTGAGCAAGAATAATCTCTCTCTCTCTCTCTCTGTGCCAAAGACACAGTCTGCCCTCAGCTGCAGAGAGGAGGAATATTTTCTGACCGTCAAATCCCGTGACGAGGCCTTAAGAGACAACGAGGAGATCAAGAAGCTCATGAGCGCAAGCGAAGAAAGAGGGAAGCGGAAGGTAACAAACGTTGCGTCGCAGTGAAGCAAATTTCCCACCGTGGCTGCTGAACTTTTGATCGGCGTCACCAGCACCTCTAATCCCTGACGTCCAGGCCCGTGCCATTTAGGAGTTCATAAATTATGAAGGCTCTGTAAACTCCTGTTTCTCAGGTACGACAAAGTTTTAGTGTACAGGTGATGGAGAGGTGAAACAGACAGCAGGAGCAGCAGCAGAAGAGACTGGATTTATACCCCGCCCTTCACTAATTGTGCCAACAACTAATAAAGATGAATTAAAAACCAAGTACAAGGAGCTGCGGTGGCTCAAGTGGTTAAGACGCTGAACTGCAGGCTGTGGAAGGTCAGTAGTTCAGCAGTTCGAGACCCGAGTGTGCTGCGTGACGGAGTGAGATCCCGTCTCTAGTTCCAGCTCCTGCCAACCTAGCAGTTCGAAAGCAAGAAATTGCAAGTAGATAAATAGGTACCACTTCGGTGGGAAGGTGACAGCGTTCCGTGCGCCTCGGCGTCTAGTCATGCCGGCCACATGACCACGGAAACGTCTTCGGACAGCGCTGGCTCTTCGGCTTTGAAACGGAGATGAGCACCGCAACCCTCGAGTCGGATTCGACTGGCTTTCGAGCAAGGGAACCTTTACCTTTACCTTTTTACACAACGTGTGTTTATTCATAAGTAGGATAAGATAACTCTCACGGCCCCACTCATCAGCAAGTGTTTTCAAAAGCAGTCCATAGAAACCGGATCAACTATCAGCAGTCCATATAAACCGGGTCAACTATCAGCAGTGTTTTCAAAAGCAGTCCGTAGAAAATGTTCCCCAGCGTTTTGTAAATTCATTAGTAAATCCTAAGGGTGTGAAATGGACGAAAACAGAGACAATTCTTGAATCCAAAACAATGGCGCTCTCAGTAGCAGACACACACTGCTTCAGACTTCCAAATAAGATTCTTTAGAAGAGAGAGAGAAGAAATTGGATTTACACCCCGCCCTTCACTACCCGAAGGAGTCTCGGAGCGTCTTACAAACTCCTTTCCCTTCCCCTCCCCACAACAGACACCCTGTGAGCTGTGAGGTAGGTGGGGCTGAGAGAGCTCTCCTGAGAACTGCCCCTGAGAGAACAGCTCTGAGAGAGCCATGTCTGACCAAAGGTCACATCAGCAGGTGCAAGTGGAGGAGTGGGGAATCAAACCCGGTTTTCCCGGATTAGAGTCTGTGCTCCTAACCACTACACCAAACTGGCTAGTTTGTAAATAAGATTCTTTTAGTTGCAAACTGCAGTCCCGATTTGACGGGCGGGCTAGCCAAAACTAGCCACATTTCCACAAAGCTGCTTCAAAAGGCGGGACTGCTTCTCTCAGTCCAGTAGCACTCCACAGCAATCAGCCACAATTCTGAAATGAGTATACAAACTTTCAGATGCAGCTCACAATCTAAGACCAACAGCATAACGCTCTTCAGATTTCTAAATCCATTCACAGAGAGTTATCTTTTCCTACTTATTAATAAACACGCGCTGTATATTTGGTTATTAGTTCATCTTTACTAGTTGTTGAAACGTAATAAAATTACATGCACAGTTTTCTATCTTGCCGGCCCCTGACTTACCTGGCGGAAATAATGCTTGTCTGCAAAGCACGCCGAATCTTCAAGAAAAACAGTAATATAGATGCCACCTTTCCATCCAGTTATTCATAATAGTGGATTCATTTCCTCATTAACTAGATGTCAGAGCACAGAAATAGATTTTATGTCCTCAGTCACCCCCAATTTATCATTTCTGGGTTCCTCCTGATTCTCCTAAATTACCAGAGGAAGGCGAGCCAACCCACCCTTTGTGAGAGTAGGAAAGAGCAAGAGTCCAGGAGCACATTTTGTTGTTCAGTCGCACAGTCGAGTCCGACTCTTCGCGACCCCATGGACCAGCTCCCGCCAGGCCCTCCTGTTTTCCGCCTCTGAAGTTTGCTCAATTTCATGTTCGTTGCATCTATGACACTGTCTAACCATCTCATCCTTTGCCGTGCCCGTCTTCTTTGACCTTCAATCTTCCCCAGCATCAGGGTCGTCTTCTCCAGTGAGTGCTCCCTTCTCATTTGGTGGCCAAAGTATTTGAGCTTCAGCTTCAGTGTCTGGCCTTCCAGGGAACAGTCAGGGTTGATTTCTTTGAGGATTGACTGATTTGATCTCCTTGCAGTCCGAGGGACTCTCAGGAGTCTTCTTGGCAGGGGAGGAGCTTCCGTGAGTCACTGCTCACTTCTTCAGATACAGGTAGAATGTGAGTCCATCTGTCCTTGGAGAGTGGAGTGATTTCAGATGCCGAATGACATTAATAGGCAAATGACAGCAGGTGTGATTGGATTCGTCGTGATATGCAGAGGGGGTCATAGGCATGGGGAGATCAGCATTTGCAGTGAGACAGGAAACCTAGGTCTTGATTTATTAGAGACTAACAAAAGTCATGGCAGGGGAGGAGCTTTTGGGTCCCTGGCTCACTTCTTCAGATATAGCAGTAGAAAAGAGCAGTAGCCCCTTAAAGACTAACAACACTTGTGCCAGAGAAGGAGCTTTCATGAGTCAGTGCTCACTTCTTCAGATGTAGCAGTAGAAAAGAGCAGGAGTCCAGGAACACCTTAAAGACTAACCAAATTTGTGGCAGGGGAGGAGCTTCCGTGAGTCACTGCTCACTTCTTCAGATACAGGTAGAATGTGAGTCCATCTGTCCTTGGAGAGTGGAGTGATTTCAGATGCCGAATGACATTAATAGGCAAATGACAGCAGGTGTGATTGGATTCGTCGTGATATGCAGAGGGGGTCATAGGCATGGGGAGATCAGCATTTGCAGTGAGACAGGAAACCTAGGTCTTGATTTAAAACAAATAAAGCGTAATATAAATGCATGAAAAGCCACAGAGATGCTAAGTATCATTAATTACTATCAGGACCGAAAGAACTGCAGAGCTCAAATCCAAGATATAGCTTGCTTGAACTCATGAAGTGGCCTTGTGCTGGGTTGTCACTTGAGAGCCTTGAACTAGAAACTCTGGGAATCGAATCTGGGACTTCTTGCACTTCAGAGATGTGCTCCGTCCGTGAGCTGCAGGCCACGTGTCTCTGACCGATTAGAGACTGTGACCAAAAACTGTGGTCACCGCCTCTCTCCTTTGCTTTCTTGAAACGTCAGGTGACAGCTCTTCAGCGCAAGCTGGAAGAAGCCAAGGGGGACAATCGCAAAGTGACCACACTGCTGGAGAACGTGGTGGCGTCTCACAAGAAAATGGAGAAGGCTCTGGAGAAGGCACAGACGGAGCTGGGGCGCAAGGATTCCGAGATCATCGGCCTGAGGAAGGACAGGTAACTAACCGGGCCTGCGTCTCCCTCTCCTGCACGCACGGTGTTTTCGGTCTGCAGCGGAACTGAGCTGTGAAGCGAATGGGCCATTTATGTTAAAGCTGAAAGAGATCTTTAGCGGCTCATTCGGGGTGGGAGGGTTAACGAAGAATGTAAGAAGATGAAAAAATGGAATATGTTCGCCGAATTTCGGTTCCATATAAGGGAACTGATCATTGATTCGGGGGAGAATTTTTGAAGAAGGACATCTAATAGTAGAAGAAGAACACCCTTAAAGCCCTGTGCAGTCTGGGACCAACATATCTGCAGGACCGTCTCTCCCCATCTGTCTCTCGAAGAGCTTTACGCCCCACAGATTAACATCCGCCGGTGGTCCCCGGCCTGAAGGAGATCCCCTTAGCCTCAACTAGAGCCTTTTCGGCTCTGGCTCCGGCCTGGTGGAACACTCTCCCAAGTGAGATCAGGGCCCTGTGGGACTTGCTGCAATTCCGCAGGGCCCGCTAAACGGGAGATGTTCTGCCAGATCTTCGATTTATTTATTTATTTCATTCCATTTTTATCCCGCCCTCCCCGCACGCAGGCTCAGGGCGGCTTACAAGGCACAAAGTGCTATAAAACAGATAAATTAAAACATTGACAACTCACAGGATACATGAAGGATTAAAATTGCGCACTCTCCATTGCATATCAGGAGGAGGTTAGAAGTCAGAAGGGGGACGCCATGAGCCATGATGTTCCAATTACTCATCAGCCCACCCCGGCGGTCCTGCTCCACAGTTATGCAGTGGTGGTAGTGGTGGCGGCGGCCCCTACTTAAAAGCCTAGTGGAAGAGCTCCATCTTGGAGGCTCTGCGGAACTGTAAAAGGTCCCGCAGAGCCCTGATCTCCTCTGGGAGCTCATTCCACCAGATAGGAGCCGCCATCGAAAAGGACCTGGCACTCGTGGTAGCTAGCCTGGCCTCTTTAGGGCCCAGGGTCACTAAACGGTGCTGTGACCCCGACCGAAGTGCTCTTTGGGGCCTATATTGAGGTGGCAGACATCTAACTGTATTGGCCTCCCCTCTCCAGCGTTGTGCCCCTTACCTGCTGCTATTCTTGCTGCTTATCTGCCATTTGCCCAGTTTCTGTTTTTCATCTATGGGCCCGCATACCGAAAGGTTTTGGGGAGCACCCGTCAACTCGTGTCCGACTGTCATCTTGCAAGTTGTTTAGTCGATATCGAATATATTTATTCTATGGAATATGTTTTGTTTTAAATTTATTATATATTTATTGTTGTGGCCCGCCCTGAGCCCTGCGATGCAGGGAAGGGCAGGCTAGAAATTTATTTAATTAATTAAATGATAAAATGATACAGAGGGGGATTTCTGAGAAACCTTGGCGAAAGAGAACGGGGTCCATAGCTAGAATGTGATTTGTACTGACTCCGTGGGGGGGGAAATAGTATATAAGAATGTTTATATGCCTTGGTTTTATGCCTTGGTTGGGCGTATCCCTCTTACAATACAAGGTCATGTCCTAATGGTGTGAGCCTTGCAAACGGAGTGGGGTCAATTCCGCGGCGAGTGCGATGTTGTTTTTGTTCCCCTTCCACTCTTTGCCCTCCTTCTGTCTCGGCCTCCCCGTGCAGGATCCAGGGCCAGCAAAGGATCCAGAAGTTGGAGGCAGAATTGGAGCAGTGCCAGAGCCAACTGGGCTTGGAACCTCAGCACGGAATCAAGGTAATTTTAAAAATCCCTTTCCTGTGGTCGGGCTGGTACCCTTGTCTGTCTTGGGTGGAAAGTCGGCCATCAAGTCGGAGCCGACTTCTGGCAAGCCTGTAGGGTTTCGGGGCAAGCGATGAGAAGAGGTGGGTTAGGCCCTTGCCTGCCTGTGTATAGAGACCTTGGATTTCGTAGGTGATCTCCCCTCCAAATATTAACCAGGGACAACCCTGCTTAGCTTCCGAGATCTGATGACTTTGAGCTAGCCTGGACCATGCCGGTAAGGGCACCGTCAAGTCGCAGTGGACTTACGGTGGTCCCGTAGGGTGTGTGTGTCAAACATAAGGCACGGGGACCAGAACCGGCCCATCCAGGGCTCTTACCTGGCCCACAAGCGATGGGTATGGATGGAAATGTAAGGTGCTCCCCCCTTTTGCGGTATCCCTTGGGGAAAACCTAGTTCTGCATGTGATTAAACACATTCACTGGGGTTTTCGTGGGCTCCCCAGTTAATCAGTTGCTTTCACTGCTAGGAATCAGCCGCTTTTGTTTGTATTTTGAGTGAAAAGCTAATATTGTTAACTGGGTTTGCCTGTGTCCTTTATAAAGTTTATATCTTCGGTACCCGGCACTACATTTTAGGGGACACACGGCCCGACAGAGTGACATTTATATCAGATCCGTCCCTCATAACAAATGAGTTTGATGATGGATGGCTTCAAAAAAGGAAAAAAGGGAACTAGATAGGCATATGGAGCAGAGGTCCATCAGTGGCTGTTAGCCCCACAAAGTATAGATAGGGGCTCTGGGGCAAGTGATGCTCTGTCATCTTGGTGCTTGGGGGTGGGGGGCAACAGTGGGAGGGCTTCTAGTGTCCTGGCCCCCCTGCTGGACCTCCTGATGGCACCTGGTGTTTTTGGCCACTGTGTGACACAAGAGTGTCGGACTGGATGGGCCACTGGCCTGATCCAACATTGGCTTCTCTTATGTTCTTATGATGTTTCTGCTGTAAGGTTTTTTATGCAAGAGACGTTCAGAGGTGGTTTGCCGTTGTCTGTCTCTGTGTAGCAACCCTGGACTCCCGTGGTGATCTCCCATCCAAGGACTGACCAGGGCCAACCCTGATTA